CCCCCCCCACCCCAGCAGCAAGGCTCTGGGATGCCTTCCCGATGTTTTCTCCAACAAGGACTGAGAGAGGCCCTGTCTTCCAGACTTCCCCCTCAATTCTGAAGGCCACCCTCTGCTTAAATGCCCATCCTGCCCACTAGACCCTACACCCGGGGATACGCCACACCGAAATGCTCAGGTAATGCGAGCTGAGGCCACTCACGAGCCAGGCAAGCTGACTGGGCAGCATCAGCCTGAGTCCTGCTTCTGACCCCACCCGGCCTGGAGCCAGCCAGCCCCATCTGTTTTCCTCCAGCCCCCTTCTGGGCAGGCATGTGGCACCCCTGCTGATGGGGCAGGGGAGCCACCACTTGGCCGGTTCCAGGCACCTGGCTGACTAGAAAAGTCCCACAGGGGTAGGCGCAGGGGTGTGTCTTACTGTTCCCTGCTGGCACGGACAGTCCTGCTGTCGGGGCTCCTGGTACCATGTCCAGGGATGTCTTGGGCTCAGCCGTTCCACTTTGAAGACTCTCTGATGCACCTATATCTGTCCCCGTGGCCAAATCCACTGTCTACCCACAGCCAGTCATCCCACCACTGTCTGTAAGGGCAACAGACTGGCAACAAGTCCCACATTCCCCACAGGGGTCCCTGCGCCTCGTAGTAGTACGGATCGCGCTGCATGAGGGTAAAATCCACTGGGAGGGGATCCAGGCGGCAGTAAGGAAGTCATCTAGCAGATCAGACATGTGGACAAAGGAGAGAGGAGACTGCAAGTCCTGACTGTGCACAAGGTGGGTACGGGGAAGGGATGCATGCCCGTGCTTCCGATGTAGGCCACACAGACTGGGCACAGTGGTGGCCTGGGGTGGGAGGGGGTGGTAAAGACATATTCTATGTGTATGTTTTAAAGTGCACATATTTATACAAAATGTTGAATGGACACAGGCACACATCCCTGGGAAGGAGATGAATGTGTCACACTGATCGAGTTGTCAGAGCAGGACCCCACACAAGGTTCAGGGCCAGAGTGGCCCACATCTGTCTAGATTTTAGAGGACAGCCACAGAGGCTGGGGAGTGCCAGCTTAGAACCAGGAGGCCCAGGCAAGACCAGTCACCAGGCCCAGGCCCCGTCTGCTTCACCCACAGAGGCCCACGGCCCATGCTCAGTAAAGTGTGGGGTACAGTGCCCAGGGGCCTGCTAAACACCCCCGCAGGAAATGGGCTATTTCACCTCACATCTGCCCCTCCTACATCTGCAGCCACCCTCCTCCAGGCTGCCAATGCACCCCGATCACCTTCAAGAGCCTCCAGTGACCTTGCTACTTTCACTGCTGCTCTCAACAGCTGGGCCCCTCCTGGGCTCATCCTTTTTCTGGCCAAACAGACCCTGCCGATCTGTTCTGTTCCTCTGTTACCACCCCTGCTCACTAGAGTGACCAAACAGTCTGCATTCACACCCAGTTGCACAACGGCATGCCAGGGCAGCAGGGGTTAACTGGGACTGTCCACAGGCAGGCAGGATGGACTCTCCCCAAGCTGTACCCTTGAAGCCCCACCCCCCATGCTGCTGCCTTTCCTCCCTCCCTCCGCCACCCTGGCTCTGGCGGCAGCCTCAGTGGGCTGTGCAGGTTCCCACCTGCGGCGGGCCTTTTGAACGGGGTCTTCCCTCACGTGTGTGGCACAGCTCACTCACTCATCCTCTCCTGCTCTCTGCTCAGACACCACCTCCACACAGCAGCGGCGGGGAAGAGAGGGGTAAACACCCCTGGTCTCACTCCCCTTGCCTGCTCCGGCTGTCTGGGTCTCCCCATCCCCCACTCGACTTCCAGTGTAATGCTGCCAGTCTCCTGCCCAGGAGCAGAAACGTTTTTGCTCTTGCTGCCGGAGCCCAGAACGCTGCGGGGCCCACAGCAGCCCAATGACCTCGTGGTACCTATTTGGGCAAGGAGGAAATGGAGACTCTGGGGGTAAGGGATTCTCACCCGAACTCAAGCTCCAGGCCCGTGCTCCCTCGGCTCACAGGGATGGCTGGTCCTGTGCTGTCCCTCCCTCCCTCCCTCCCTCGCGGGGCGCCCGCATCCCAAGCCCCCTCACGGCTCCCACAGAGGATGGGCAAGACTCAGAGGTAAGCTGCATTCCTG